CTGAGACTGCCCCTGACCTTCAGAGTTAGGGAAAATGCCAAGGGAAAGAGACAGCAACTCCTAAGAAAACTGTCATCTGAGAATCAGTCATTATCTTTTGCTTTCTTTCCCATTCTCTGCCTCAATTTCTTGGCCAAACTCCAACCCAGCCCTCTTTGTAACTTAGTGATGGCTTTGTTCAAAGATGATGAAACTAATACAAATGATAATAACTAATAGCAGCTGACACTTACTGAGTACTAGGTGCCATGCATTCTCCTCGGATCATCTCAGGTAATCTTAACCGCAATCCCATAAAGCAGGCACCAGTATCATACGCAATGATTCACTGATTAAACAGTTTGCCTAAGGTCTGACTGCTGACAACCAGGACAGAAACCCAACCTCCTCCTTTTATCTTCCTCCAAAGGAGTACCAGGATGTGTTTTTAGACATATGCTTTGTATCACAGAAGTCTGGCTGTAGTGAGACGCTAGTGGTTTACAACTGTAATCCTAGCTACTTGGGAAACAGGATCAGGAGGCCAGACCAGGCAACAAAAGCGTGACCCTATCTTAAAAATACCCAACACAGACCGGAGCCTGTGGCTCATAGCTATAATCCTAGCTAATCAGGAGGCAGAGATCAGGAGAATTTTGGCTCAAAGCCAGCCAAGACAAACAGAAAGACCCTACTCGAAAATACTCAGTACAAAAAAGAAATGGTAGAGTGGCTCAAGTGGTAGAATGCCTGCCTAGCAAGCCTGAGGCCCTGACTTTAAGCCCTAGTACAGAAAAAAAAAAGGTAAAGAAACTTTGTTACATCTTTGGAAAAACCTGGGAAGCTTTTGGTTTTTTTTTTTTTTTTTAAGTTACAAGTCACAAGACAACAAAGTCAGGTACCTCTCCCTAAACCCCAGTGTCAGGCAGCAGCCTCTCTCTCTAACCACTCTAGAGGGAAGGAAGTTCCCCCAAAGGCAGGTCAAGGGTACAGTAACAAGGCCCATTTTAGTCTCCCAGCCAGGTCCTTCCTGATTGAAGCTCCCTGGCAAAGCAGCTGAATTCACTGCCACTGAAGACCTCCAGGGAGGATTATAGTTTGTCCTTTACTTATGAGCACGTACGTGACGACATCTTTATTTTAAACTACTTCAAAATGGCAAGTGTAAATATTGCTTAAGCAACTTTATATTCCTGAAGGGAGGACCACTTCTGGAAGGGTGAGTTCAGCTCCTAGTGATCTGTTTTAAAATTACCAAAAGGCTAAAGTCCCTTAGGGAAAAATTTGTCTTGTCCTCAGGGAATGGGATTCAGCAAGCCTGGCTGCAGTGCTAATTCTGGTGGGAAGTAGTCTTTGGGCCACACACTGTTTAAGAAACACTATTTAAAATACAACCTCAGCTGGGCACTAGTGGCTCACACCTGTAATCCTAGCTAATCAGAAGGCAGAGATCAAGAGGATTGAGGTTCAAAGCTAGCCCACACAAATAGTCTTCGAGACCCTATCTTGAAAAAATCCTCCAAAAAGGGCTGGTGGAGTGGCTTAAAGTGTAGGCCCTGAATTCAAGCCCCAGTACTGAAAAATAAACAAATAAATAAAATACAACCCTTATGTTAGTGATAGATGCTCCATTCCTCCTTTTTTTTTTGTTTTTTGATGTGACTAGAGTTTGAACTCAGGTCACTTTTGCTTGTCAGACAGGCACTCCCCCACTTTGACACTCCCCCAGCCCTTTTTAGCTCTAGTTATTTTTTGGATAGGGTCTCACAGTTTTTTTGCCCTGGGCTGGACTGGACCAAGGTCCTCCTATACAAACTTCTCACGTAGCTGCAGTGACAAGCATACCCAACACAGCTTATTTATTGTTTGAGATGGAGTCTTGCTAACCTTTTGTTGGGGCTGGCCTTCAATCATGATCTCCATAAATTTTCTGCCTCCTAAGTAGCTGGGATTGCAGGTGTGACCCACCTGGACCAGCCCACTTTGTATCTCTTTTGACCTTATCTTCCTAACCCTTATTTATCTCAGACCTGAAGATAAGTTACCCAAGAGCAGGGACTGTGTCCAGGTGTCTTTATCCTTGCAAAGTACCTACCTGAGGCAAACACTGGAATGTTTACTGAATCAGAGCTGGACACACCACACCTCCTTTGAGCCTCTCCATGTCGTTTTCAGTTCCTTAGTGCCTGAACCTCTCTGGGGAGGTCATGATCCTTTCTCTAAGACTGGAGTGGCTCTGTACCCAAGGCAGTAGCAGAAAAGCCAACTATTGTTCTTGTCCGATCCATAGTTAATGGAGTCAGGCAGCCAGCCCAAACCATGAGCACATTTCTCAATAGCTGTGCTTCCGTGTCACTGGCCAAGTTCTACTCCATTTCCTGGGCTGGAGTGGGCCAAGAAAACAATCAAGTATATCAGAATAAAGACGCCAAGGGCTGGCAGCCAAGTCTCCGTGGAGGGTATGGGAGGTTCACTTCTTTGCTGTTGCTCAGGCCCATCCATCATGGCAAAGCTGTGTGGCTTTTACCAGCCCCTCACAAATTAGGAACAGGGACTATTGTCTGTGGAACTTTATAGAAGAGGAAACTAATGCTAAGACAACATGTGCTGGACTGGGGTGTGGCTCAAGTGGTAGAACAAGCTAGAGGCTGAGTTCAATCCCCAGTACTGCAAGAAGAAAGAGAGAGAACATGTGCTAATAGGATGCTTTTCCAGTGACAATTCACATCTCACTGGAGAGACCTTGAGATCAAACTGGCAAAGCCAAGCTGAAGGTGCAAATGAAGCTCTGCAATGGACAGGTACCAACTCTGTTATTAGATGTTGTGTAGACATTCTGTTGCTGGTTGAAACAGTACCCTTGTATTTTGCAGGGTAGAGAGAAACATGAACACATGAAAACATTCATTTGGATCTCATGGAATTCTCCCAGAAAGGACAGAAAAGATCAGTAACACTGGTATTCCTTTAGATGGGACAGCCTCTGGGGACAAATGTGGATGGGAGATGGTTCACTGTATTTTCTGGTACCTTTTGGTTTTTAAAACATGTGAGTGTTGGGCTGGGAAGCGGTACAACGTCAGAGGTGGAGTGCTTGCAGGTTCCATCCCCAGCACTGCAGGTGTGCACATACACACATACAACGGGAATACATTATCTAATCAAATATAGTTTAAAAAATTAGATTGGGGCTGGGGGTGTAGTTCACTGGTAGAGCATGTTCTTAGCATGCAAAGGATCCTGGGTTGACGACTCAGCACAATGGGGAAAAAAACACCCTTCAAGTGTTCATTTAACGTTTACTTACTAGCACATTCCAGGCACCAGGGTAAATGTTGGTTTCAAGAGTTGGAGCTGGGCGCCAGTGGCTCCTAGCCACTCCTGGGAGGCATAGATCAGGAGGATCTCAATTTGAAGCCAGCTGGAGCAAATAGTTCATGAGACCCTATCTTGAAAAAACCCATTACAAAAAAATAAAAGAGCTGGTGGAGTGCCTCAAGGTGTAGGCCCCAAGTTCAAACCCTAGTACCACAAAAAATAAAAAATAAAATAAAGAGTTGGGTGGCTTACATATTTGGGAGGTTGAGATTGAGAAGATCAAGGTTCAAGGCCAGCCTGGGCAAAGAGTTTGCAAGACCCCTCCCCCCCACCACCTTCAAAGTAACCAGAGCAAAATGGACTGAAGGTGTGGCTCAAGTGCCTGCTTTGCAAGTGCAAAGCCCTGAGTTCAAACCCCGTCCCCAAAAAGAGTTGGGTGGCGGTCCGGGGGTGTGGCTCAAGTAGTAGAGCCTACCTATTAAGTCGGAGGCCCTGAGGTCAAACTACAGTAACCTTGGGTTCTCCATCATGGAGAGAGGGACAAACATGTGAAAAGTGGAGACAGATAATAACGTAAATTACACCAATGCATGATAGCGGTCCGAAATAGGAGCGGTAGGAGAGGTCGCTGGCCTTGCTGGGGTGGGAAGTGGAGAGCCAGGCAAAGTTTCCCCCAAGGACTGAGACTAAGACCAATGACCTCATAGGAACTCCTGCTGGTGGACTGGCTCAAGTGGTAGAGCGCCTGCCTAGCAAGCATGGAGTTCTGAGTTCGAACGCCAGTACCACCAAAAAAAAAAAAAAAAAAAAAAAAAAAGCCCTAGAAGCTGGAGTCAGCACAGAAGCAGGCTACAAGTGAACAGAAACGTTGAAAGTCTAACATCGCCCTTAACTATACTATACCGCTCCCTGGGCTGTGCGAAAAGAGTTCACCGCAGTGGAAAAGAACTTGAAAATGCCACTGCTATTCCCCGCCTTCTCTCTCCACTGCGCTCCATTCACCCAAATGCACGACCGAATCCCCCGTGTAAGTCTGATAAAGGGTACTAAAAGATCTGACATTTGTAAAGTGCTTGGAAGAGAGCCTGGCACAAAGTGCCTTATAAATGTTACAGTCAAATAAAGCCCAGCGGCGACGCAAAGCCTTGCAAACACCTTCCCAGAGAATTCTCAACGTCCCTGGAAGGAAGGCCCTTTGGAACTTGGATTTGCTTCCTGATACAACCTTAAAGGTCAGCACATGCCCTGCCCGAGACCTGGGGTAGCAAGAGTCCTTTTTAGCCTTCTGTGCCTCGGTGTTCCCAACACCAAAACTACACTAAAAATGCTTCAGCCTCCGTCAGTTCCTCGGTCCTCGCAATCCACCGGGGAGAACGCCCTCCGCATGTTGTGCAAAACATCCTGGCGTGGCGAGCAGGTGACGGCTCGCCACGCGGTTGGTTACGACAGCACAGACAGGTGCCGGTGGGCGCGCGCTGCCCTCTCCGCTCGTTCCCGGCGGGCACGCAGGCCCGGCGGCTCGGGGCGCGTACCTCGGCGCGGCCTCTCCGGCGAGCGGTACCCAGCCTGGCCGCGAGGTCACCCGCCCCGCCTCCCTGCACGCGGTGCCCAGTGCCCACGCCGCGGCGGGGGCGCGCAGCCCTCGCCCTCCGTGCAGGGCTTCCTGGAGGCGGAGCCCGCAGCGCCCTCCTGCCGCAGCTCACCAGTTCCCCGAGCCCACGATGCACACTTTCAGGGGCGCCACTGCCATGGCCGGGCCGGAACTCTGCAACCCAGACCTTGCCTCTCCGGCTGGCTGCCGGCCTCCACCAGCTCAGCCCAGCTCGCAGCGGCTCCCGGCGACCCCGCCCTTGACCGCCTTTCGGCCAATGGCCACGGCCACCCTACCCGGGCGCCGGGGGCCACAGCTGACAGCCAGGAGGACCCGCCCCGCCACTCCCAAGAACCACTGCGCAGGCTTAGCCTGGCCGGCCTCCCGGGCCGCTCCTGTGCGCCCCGCTCCTGCCCGAGGCATGTCGGGACATGTAGTCCACACCCCTGCCTGTGCGCGCCCCGGGACAGCAGCTCCCGGCGCGCCACGTGCAGGCCGAAGCGTGCTTGGAGACCCTCCTCCCCGCAGAGCAGGCCTGACCCAGCCCGCACTGGGCTTCTACACACCTCCTTTTCCCTGCGCGGGAGGGGCTGCAATGTGGAGCCCAGAGAGGCTTAGGTTGATTCTGAAGTCACTCAGACTTGGGCCAGATCTCGATGCTCACACCTGTCTCACACGCACAAACAAGACACAGTCAGGCATCCATGAGCTTCTTCTGAGACCTTTCCACCCTCGGCTGGGCAGTACCTGCACTTCAGGGTTGAAACTTTTTCTACCTAGAGTCAAAATAGAAACCTGAAAGCGGGGGAGGTGAGGAGGGCCTCCCTCACCACTGACAAGGAAGGATTTGCCCTCTTATGGCCTTTACCAAGGCCCTATGGCCCATTTGTGGTTGATTTATGGCTGTGGTTCAAAGACCATGCTTCTCTCTGTCCTGACCAATAGAATATTTAGCCGAGAGTGGTGGCTCACTCCTGTTAATCCTAGCTACTCTGGAGGCAGAGATCAGGAGTATCGCAGTACAGGACCAGCTCCTGGCAAATAGTTTGCGAGACTCTATCTCGGAAAATATCCAACACAAAACAAGACTGGTGGAGTAATTCAAGTGGTAAGCCCCTGTCTAGCAAGAGTAAGGCCTGGAATTCAAACCCCAGTACCACAAAAATAAATAAAATAAAAACCAATAGAGCATTCATTCTGAGCATCAGCCTCCTCAGGCACTGTCTAGATGCTGTCAAAGGAGGACAACGGTACTTTAAACCAGAGGTTCTCAAACTCTGCTGCACCTTGGAGTCACTGGAACCCAGGCACCCCAGATTAATTGCATCAGGATCTCCTGGGGCAAGACAGGCATCAGGTTTTTTTTTTTTTTTTTTTTGGTAGGTACTGGGGTTTCAACTCAGGGCCTCAGGCCTGGAGGCACTCTATCACTTGATTCACTCTGCTAGCCCACAGGCATCAGAATTTTTTGAAGTTCAAAAGTGATCGCAAAAAATGAACAGATCCCAGATCTTGGTGGCTGATGCCTGAGAATCTCCAATTGGAGGCCAGCCTGGGCTACATAAGCAGATCAAAAGGAAAAAAAGAAAGGAAGGGAGGGAGGGAAGGAGGGAAGAAGGGAGAATCAAGATGGATGGATAGATGGAAGGAAGGAAGGAAGGAACGAACGAACGAACGAAGGAAGGAAGGAAGGACCAAGATTGAGAACCTAAGAAGGAAAATACTCTAGTACCTAGAAAAATACTAGGTTGTAAGCTTGATGCCCTGAGGATTCAGTTATTTTGTTTTCAACTCTACATTGTTGCTTATGGCATTCACTTAGGAGAGAGGGTGAGGCAGCCTGGTCTCTCCATGCCCCCTCTGATGGTTTGCTCTCCATTATTTGCACTAATGCAGAGCTGCAAGGATGATGGGAAAGACAGAGTAGTCAAATTTTATTCCTTTTGCATTTGTAGTACAAAGTGCTTTTGTCAAATTAAATAATGTGGAGTCATGCATTTTGTATACATGTGTTGCAAAGATTTATTCCCAAATGATTTATTTTTACCCTTTGCCTAGAAGTTTAATACTTCATCTGGAAACTCTGATTCCTAAATGTTACAACTACACCTGGCTGACTAGTCCATGACCACATCTACCCAGCACAGACCTGCAGTGTCTATTGATCACCTGATCTAATGTGACCTAGAGTAGACAGAGTAGCCATTCGTTTCATAGACTAGTTGCAATGATTAAGGCAAAAAAAACCTTGTACGAGAATGCATATAGTGTGATCCCATTTCTGTTCACAAATAAGCAAAATTAAATATACTGCTATGGAAACATATATATTATGTGTCTTTAGAGGAAAATCTTAAACACAATTTAAGATTGTGGCTTAGGTGCAAGGAGGGCTGGTTATTCTTTATACACTTTGTTTACAAAATTTAATGAAAATCATGGAGGGCAGGAGAAGCTGCAGTACAGTGATAAGAAAAGCCACATGAACCAAGGTGAGTGAGAACAGGTGATGTGGTTTGCAATTTGGAGGTGGCTGGTCTGCCGATCCCATTCCTGGTTGTCTGAGATGGCAGTGCTAGTGATGTGGACCTTCTGTGTGCCACCTTTTCCAAGGGGGTTGAGCATCCAGGAAGACAAGGAGTTGGGCAGTTTCATTGTGACAATGACAACTGTTCAGAGGCCTGAAGAAGCCAGAGGGTACATATGTTTCTATGCATGTAGCCATGCCTGGTGCATACATCATGGTAGATAGGGTGCTCCCAGCCAGGAAGCAGTGCTTTGGAGGCTCAGCCCAGGGATCTTTAAAAAAGTCACTGAGTTCCTGAAGTTCACTAACTTCCACAGCACAGTGGGCAATGACAACAGCCCTGTTTTCCAAAATACCTAGAGTCCCCTTGCCTCTAGCTATAGATGACATTTTCTTCACTCCCACCTCAACAGTACTAGGAGTTGAATTTAGGAGTTTGAACTTGCTAGAAGGGCACTCAAGCCATGCCTCTAGCCCTCAGTGTCAGTTTCTTTTCTTTTCTTTTCAACACAGGGCCTTGAGCTTGCAAGGCAGGTACTCAACCACTTGAGCCACCCCACCAGCCTTTTTTTTATGATGGGTTTTTTTCAAGATAGGGTCTCTCAAACTATTTGCCCAGATGGCTTCGAACCACAATCCTCCTGATCTTTGTGTTTTGAGTAGCTAGGATTACAGGCATGAGCCACCAGCACCCGACTAAGTGTCAGTTTCTTAAAACCAAAATTGCCACAACATCTCTTTTGTCATGATCTTTGTGTCAAAAAATTACAGAGCTCAGTTTCTAAGGGCAAGGACATAGGCCCTATTTCTCAGTGGGAGGAGTGTGAAAAAATTTGAAGAGCATGTTTAAAACTGCCACGTAACAGTTTATCGCCATGTTACAAATGGAGGTAAACAGAACTGAAAAAGTCTTTCCAAAGATCCAGTGGGGTGTGAGGACCAAGCCTTTTGGATTCTATATCCACTACCCATCCAACTAGCCATTAGGCCGACATTTACTGAGCATCTCCTATGTGCCAGGTACAATGCAAGGCTTAAAAATTAAACAAGGCAACGTCCCCTGCCTTCTTACATGCTTATGTTTAGAGGGAGACTAGGGAGCTCATGGAGTAGCTGAAGTGATAGAGGGAAACCTGGGTCTATTAACAGGCAGTCACCCCAGAGTGTGGTACATACTGCTAGCTTATGATGGCAGCCCAAAATGAGATTCTTATTCTAGATTTGAGGGTTCAGAGAAGGTATCCTCCATAAAGGAAGATCTCTGTTGAAGTCTGAAGAAAAGGTGGTGTCAAGAAAGGTAAAGGGACGGAGGCACAATGAGTGGACTGCTCCAGTAACGAGAATAGCATAGGCAAAGTACAGAGAAGAGAGAGAGAGAGAGAGAGAGAGAGAGAATGAGCAGTGTTTTCAGGAGTTAAGAGGAGTTCCCTATGGGTGGAGGGATGAATTAATGAACGAAAGAGCATGAAGAGCAGGAGCAAATGCAGAGAAAGGACAGCAGAGAGGTGAAGGAGGTGCCTGATCATGATTGGCCTTACAAACCATACTGAAGAATTAAAAAAAAATGTTTTTTCCAGTGCTGGGGATCAAACCCAAGGCCTTGCTCATGTTAAGCAAGCGATCTACCACCGAGTGACATCTTCAGCCCTGAACTTAAATTCTGAAGGCTGAAGAAACCATCTTGGGGTTTTCAGCAGGAGCTCAACATCATCTGCTTTGTGCCTAGGAAAAGTCGTGTGAGTGAACTGTCAGGCAGGTCGGAGACAGTGGCGGTGGGAGCCTGCTGCAGGGTTCCATAAGAGAGATGGTGGCTTCTACCACCACAGAGACTGGGTGGTGGTGACAGGGCTGGGGAAAAGTAGGGAGACTCAGACACAGCTGGGAAGCAAAAAGGTTAGAGGACACTTTCTCCAGCTCAGGCCCTGGCAACTGAATGAACATCACTGGCTAAAACCAGGAACCTGGGAAGAGAACTAGGTACAGAGAGAAGCCTTGGTGTCCAAGGCCAGACCTCATAGAGGCAGTGAGGACCTTGAGTCTGAGTTACACACCTGTTTGGAGATTGCAAGTGATGTGTGCCTTGTTCTAGGCACTGAACAATGTTCTAAGCATTGTTCTATGCCAGGCACAGTGTAGGCATCGGTAAGTCCTAAGTGAAGGTGACTGAGATCCCTCAGAGGTGAACCAAGTTACAAGGGGTGGGGGGATCCAGGACAGGACCCTGAAATGGACAAGATATTGAGGAAGAGGAGTTTGAGGGGGGTGAGAAAGGAGCAGAAAACACAGTGTGGTATCACAGTTGCCCAGAAGATAGCGGCTCAGCAGGTGGGGAGGCCACAGGGGAGCTTGGGAGTGGTCAAGTCAGATAAGGACTGGAGTATGGTCTTTCACTCTGGCAGAAAGGAGGCAGCTGGGGACCTCCATGAATAGTGCAGGTAGCACACTGTACACCAGTGGGCCCCATGCACATGGTGGGCCGATGGCACACTTACAGTGACCTTTTCTGACAGTGGAAGCAAGTCTGGTAAAGAAGGGGAACATTTTCCCAGTCCATGTGGAATCACTGTATGTCGGGGCTAGCCTCAGCCTGGCTGCTCTTGGCTCCAGTGGGAGGGGCTTAATTTCAGTTTCGGGGGCAAGGGCATAACTCAGCTTGCAGAGGGGAGAGGCATGAACACAGGGGAAAGTAATGAGTTTGAGAGTGGGTGTGGTAGACTATGCTGCTGTAACAAAATGCCTGAGACTGGGTAATGGATAAAGATCAGAAATTTATTTTAGAGTTATAAAGACTGGA